TGTTCTGTTTTCAAATATTTGCTTATACATCACACTTACAAATTTTGACTTTGAGAAAACTGTGCAGAAAATAAACATTTTTTACTTTGAAGAAACTGTACATTTGTGTCTTCCTTTTGCAGAAGTGTTTATTGAAACAAACTATGTTTTAAAATCAATCATGTTTCTCCTAGTATATTCTAAAGGTGTTTTTTTTCTCTTCACGATAGAAGAACTTTGGCACAATATTTTTGCTGGTTTTCTGCATTCTCTCCAATAGCTCTTGCTCTAATTTCCACGTGTTGTTTTAACCAAAACCCCTCTTGCTTTATTACTTCTGTTTATATCTTAAGGTTCATTTGCTTTTTTTCTCCCCATTAACATTCATTTAATTTTTTGGGGGTATATTTCTTACCCAGATTGTCATAAAGCAAATGCTAGAATCCAAATGGTTTATTTTAATGTAAGTGTAGGCCTTATCATGCTCTTGGTGCCTCTGAATATTCAACTTATCTGCCATTATGCAACACTAGTAGAAATGAAACAGGCTTGCATTAGTATCTATGTATCACACCAACATTTCATGAGACAGGTTACCTTTTTTGCTGCCTGTTCTTCTTCTACACCATCCCCAATTACAACATATACTACTTTTCTGCCAAACCTTTGCATTATTCGTTCAAAGCAACTTTCTTTTCCTGGAAGATAAATGAGATAAGAGTTCAGAGTGAAGTTACCTGGTTAGCTGCATGCTCCTCATCTCGTCCATCTCCAATCACAACATAAGTTATGTTAGTGCCAAATCTGGACACTATACGCTCAAAACAGCTTTCTTTGCCTGAAAAACAACACACTACTTATTCAAGCCATCATGTGAGTTATCTTGAAGCTTTACAAAGGGTTAAGTGAATCCTATTAAAGTGTGCATTTTTTCATAGCTCCCAGCTTTTGGCTTGTTTCACAGATGCAACCAGCCAAAAAGCAGTTGAATTCCTTTGTCAGACTAAGCAGATTTATCTGATATTAGATCTCATTCCTAACCTGAGGTAGAGATTTTGGCTGTAACAGAAGGATGCTATTACTTCTATTGTAAAAACATAAAATTGAATTTCAATACTTGCAGATTATTTTAATCCCCCCCCCCCAAGGACAGTAGCAGTTTCATTTAAAATGCATTTACTGCACGGGGAAGAGCTGTCATTATGGGATGATGGGCACTCAAACCTAGGGAGAAGAATGAAATGAGGCAGAAAGTTGCCCCTGAAACATGTGCCATTTTGCAAGACTGGATTAAGCCAGCTCAGCCAATGACAAGAAAGGAGGCTTCTAATTAGGAAAATATTGTGTTTTGGAACTGCTGAATGAGGACCAGATTGTAGTGAGTTTAAGGGCCAGCTCCAAGTACAGACACTATGCTCAGAGTGCAGGGACCACTCCTTTTGTACAACCCTGGCAGCACAACCCACCTGAAAGGATGTGGGGAGAGGGGAGTGGTGTACATTTCATCCCCAGAAGGGATGTAGCAGTGGGCACAATTTCCCTGCATGCCAGGCAAGAATTCTATTTTCCTGCGGCAAATGGTGCTACTCCTTACTGTAGACTAGTGTGCAAATTGCACTCAGACTAAAATGTGCAGGTTGCTATAAATATATCTATTAAATTGGCAGTTTAATGGCATTTAGGCTATTTGATATACTTAATTCTTTGAGAGTTTTTAAATGATTTCATGCATCCTCTCATTATGGAATGATGTTGCTAATTAAGTTATCAAAATATCTTTGTTCTTCGTGTTGCTGAAAGGCACATTTAAAAAATGGTACTCTAAAAACAAATATATTCAGGACGCTTTGCCAATGAAGTCTGATAGAATTTTAACAATCAATCTTCGTTAAAATTTGGAATGGATGAATGGTCAGATATGAACTCTTGCAAATTATTAGCTGTTTAAAAGTCACCAGAATGGTGATTTCCCCCAATTCACAATTGGATTTGATCTATGATTTCCAATGTTCAGATGTAAGTTCTTCTGAAACCATCAGGAGTCAAAAGTGAGGCCATATTATATTCTAAAGGAAATTCTCCATAGATTTTCAATAGAAACTTGGGTTGTCATGTGACCTAAATGTCACAATCATTTAAGAATTCTTAATACAACCTTTCATCAGCTGGAAACCTTCACTCTTTCCCCATATTCTAGAATCACTCTGTATGCACTAGAGTTTGCATTTTCAAAGGAGTCTTAGAGGTACCTTTGAAAATCCAAGCCTAAATTTTATTTTGTAGATTGCCATTTTCAAGAGTATAATTTGTCACTGTATATTACAAGAAGTTATTTATAAGTTACTTAACAGACCTGAAGGGTATTGGATGCCTGAAATTGCTGTGTATGAAATGAAGATCTTAGTTTATAATACAAATTAGCTGGGCCTCTCATATAATGCTGGTTCATAGAATTCACTGGAATTATATAACATATATCTAACATATAAAAGATGAAATTCAGTAGGGAGAATGTAAGAGGGACGACTCTCCTAGAGTTCCCTCTTGTGGCAGGCCATGGCATGACAGGCATGTCTGCCTCAGTTTCCCCTTCCAAAGTCCCCAGTAACTCTTCTTCAGGTTCTCTTGCTATAATAAATATCCTTCTTGGGGCTGGTTTATTATAAAACCTTGTGCAAATGGTCCAAAACAGAAGTCCCGAACATGTAGTTCATTTCTCACCCAAGTGCAAGCAGTCATGAAAACTCAAGACATCTTGTTGTTTGATGAAACACACAACGTACTGGCTTCTTCAACCTTGCCTGGACTCTTGGTCATCCCTTGTCCTTGTACCAGGACGCACAGCCCTTCCACCTGAAGAATAATCCTGCTCTTCCTAATGGGAACCCCCCGAGATGCCCTCTCTCAGTTCCCCTGCATCTAGCCCTCCAGCATTAGAGATGTCAGCAGGTAAGCCCCTCCATTGCTCCCCTGTCTTCAGCCCTGCCTGTGTCCCTCAGGCTCTTCCTACCCTCTGACCCAAGCTTCCCCAAGCTTGGGGAAGTCAGCCAACAAATCCCTCTAGGCACTCTTCTTGCTTTAGCCTTCCCCTCCAGGAACCACCTTCCGCTTCTTTCTAGGAACCTTCCACAGTCCCATGGTCCCTGGTAGCTCTCACCTGTTCCTGATTCCCACACAGGCTGCTCTGATTCACCAGTCTCTCTCTCTCACTGGCTCTATTTTCTGCTCTACACCCAGGTGCCCTCTTAATTGGAGCATACTGATCAGGTGCACTTGTCCTGCTCCCTGTATAAGTGCCAGTGTCACCCTGTGACAGAGTTATATATTTAGATGGTACATAGTCTATATATAAATGTGACAAATACTGGGATTAGAAGTACTCATAGCAAACATAAATGTTTTAAATTTTTAAACAGTCAATAAATCTTAAAAACTGAGGCAATGCACAATTCATTTTCTACCTAAATATTTATACTATCAGATAAGTGGTTTTGAATCTATCCATAACTAATAAAAGGAAAAAAATATTTTTATATGATAAAGCAAATGCAGTCTTTGAGGACTAAAGAGTAATTTTCTTACCTATTTTGGTTGCACTGTAAATATTTTCAATAGGAAAAGCACCTCCTAAACTATACAACAGGACTTTTGCAAGTGCTGGGATAAGTTGGGTGGTTGTTACCAAAACATTTACACAGTTACTCCTAAAGGGAGAGAAATAGTTGTTGAATCTGAATAATGGTACATCATTCAAAAAATTATACAGTTAATATTTTGCTAAATAAAATTGGCCGCTGAGGATGGCATTCAGGATTTCCTGACATTAACTGTCAATCCAAATGCATTACTATCACTTAACCAGCCTTGAGAACCGTTTTATTAAAAATCTTATCCTTCGGCGGAAGGCTTTTCTGTTTTGGGCAAGTGCATAGGCCTGCAGTGCTGTGAAAACTGGGCTCCCTTTAAGATGTCAAAATAAATGCTCAAAAACGGAGATCTCAAATCACTAGTTGCTTTTAAAAATGTTGCCAAAACAGCACTCTCAAATTGGCAATTACTGGTGACTAATGAACAATCAGATGAAAGAGAGTTAGGAGGGGAAAAATGACTTGTCATTACTGCCTTAAAGGGAAGGACTGGGACAATAAAAAAATACATATTTTCTCACCCAAGAATTATAAATTAATGGTGGCCTCAGAACTGAACATCACCTTCCTAGTATTTCAAGGGTGGAAAGAGCAATCTTTTCAAGGAGAGGGGAGAGTAAAAACTTCCCAGTTTCATCACTGATTAGGTTTTTATGTCACTTCAGTCTGGGGCTTTGAGGAGTTCAGATGGCAGCAACTATACAACCAGAAATGGAATTTAACGCTATTACAAGGTCAGAGGAGGAAGGGCTTGAACACTAGTGCAGCCTACTGGTGTTAACATGGGGCTAGGACCAGGAACTTGTGGGTTCTAATCCTGGCTCTTCAACAGTTTTAACATGTGACCTTTGGCAAGTGAAGTAATCTCATTATGTCTCAGCTTCCGCCTCAGTAAAATGGAGCTAATACACATCTACCTCAGAGATATTGTGAGGATTGATAAATGTACAGTACTCATGAAATACACCTCTACCCGGATATAATGCAGTAAAGCAGTGCTCCGGGAAGAGGGGAGGGGGCTGCGCACTCCAGCGGATCAAAGCAAGTTCGATATAACGCAGTTTCACCTACAACGTGGTAAGATTTTTTTTGGCTCCCAAGGACAGCATTATATCGAGGTAGAGGTGTACTTGACAATTATTTAAACATCTGACTGGCCTTTATTTAATCGGTAACAATTTTCCAACAATCCATTATTGCTTAAATGACAATGCAATTTTTTGAATACTGTGTGGATAATATTTTTAGAAATAAGTATGATATCAAACACATGCATAAATTATTTGTACTTTTATTTTTTTCATTAGATACTGCTAAAATAGATTTCCAGTTTAGCTGCTGTTTGTTAAAAACATGTAGATGTTTAAAATAGTTGTTCGTTTTGTTCTTTTCCCTTAACACTGATTCATCTCTCACCCATGTTACTCTTGAAATAGAAGACAATGTGGCTCCATGTTGTTCATTACTATCGTTTTGCACTTGCAGTATTGATTAGCTCAGAGGGAACAGGTACTGCTCTCTGAATATCATTGTTGAAGAACCAGCAATTATTTCTTAGGGGAGGGAGTGCTGGGTTTTAATTATTTTGGTTAAACAGATAGTTGCTCTAAAAATCCTGCACATCCACTCAGGGTATGTTTATATTTCAATGTAAACCCAGGGTTAATAGCACATGAATTAGCAGATCCTGGATTTGTTAACCTAGGGCTTGACTGTCTACACTCATTTGTAATCCCAGATTAGGAACTGTTGAACCTTCAGTCCCAATCTGTGGCTCCAGTGTCTAAACCACATTATGCAGCCTGAGTACAACCACCCATATCCCAGACTTCCTAGAGCTCTCCCAAAATGTGGCTGCTTTAGCCTTTTGTTCATTGTTTAGGGTGTGAAAACTTGACTGTCTACAGAACACAAAGTCAGCCTGTGGGACACTATGGGCGGACTCCCAGAGCATGAGTCTAGTGGCTGTGTCTACACTGCAAGCAATAGGGCTTGAACACTCGGTCCTGGCTTGATGCAGGCTTGGACCTTCTACCCCTATGGTGCCCTAAGCCCCTGGGTCAGAGCAATGTGTGTGTTGCTGGAAGGGGATTTAGGTATGCGCCCGAGTTTGAACCCTGGGCTCACACTGCAGTGTAGACGTACCCCCAGAGTCATAATAATTAAGTCTGCAGGAATGGACAGAGACCTTTGAGTTCTGGGCTTTTGTGCTCTAATGTAGTGCAGTGCTCAGATACCTCTACAGGCAGACACTATGCAGAAACACGAGAGAAAGATTTTGAATTAATTTAAAGGTGAAGTGTCCATTTTAGGCTTGCATTAACTGTAAGTATCCCTTTAATGTACACTTAAAGAACTGAAATCTGTTAACTTAGCAGTTTCACCACTTCACTTCACAGATTCACTAGCTTGTTACTTATGAAGGCTATTCTGCTGTGGTACTTGTATTTTTAATATAAAATGAATTAATATTGTTTTTACAATATATGCAAGTACATACCTAGTGCTAATAATTGATAATGATTTAAGTGCATTTGTCAACCAGGAGTCGGTCAGAGCTTCAATCTCTGCTCTTAACTGCAGCCACGCATCTCTTTTAGCAGGGCCAAGGAGACCTTATATATAAATGAGTAAGGAAAAACAAACAAATTAAACTGTGCTTTAGCTGGAACATGCAGATTTTGCAGTAATTTATTCTATTTTGAATTCTGCTTTTAAGGCTTGATAAAATACATCCATTGAAGTCAATGGATAGACTCCCATTGACTTCAGTGATGACTGGATTGGGGTTTTACTTCTCCACACAATTGTAATGTGGATGTTTAAGATCCTAGGACTTAAATAATTTTGTTTGAAAGACACCTGAGCTCTCATTAATAACCAGCTTAGATACCCAGGTGTGTGTGTGTGTGTGTGTTTCTTCCCTATGGTACATTTTCTAGTGCTTTCCCCAAAGCAATTAGACTACCTCCACTTCTGTTGCAAGACTACCCACAGTCTAATATCATACATCCTACTGAAATGCAGCCTCAGTTATGTCATTACTTCTAGTTATGGACCCTAAATAATTTCTATCCAACCTTGGTATCTGAAGCTGTTGCAGCCATGAAGTATTTGTAGATTTTATGTCATCCTTCCTTTAATCATGTCTCACAAACTATAAAAGCCTCCCTCCAACCTTTTTGTAGACCCCTTAGATGTGATGGGCAGAACACTTTTGAAAAACTGATCATAACTTAGTCAAGTTTTCTGTTTTTCTGTCAACAAGACCACAATGTTACAAAAATAATGTTACAGAAGTTGGAGGGAGCAGGATGCATGTGTGAATTGGCCACAAATGGTGGAATACATTAAATAATCAATAAAGCATAAATTGTTTGTGGTGGGAAAAGAAAAATACATACTAGGTATCTGGACTCCACCCTCATACTGATACCTTCTATTACAACCATCCTGTTTACTTTAGGTTCTTGCACAGTGGCTCAGTAACCCAAACTTTTTTTTTTTAATGGAATATAGCACCTTGAGAATTCTCGACACATTAGGAGCTTTTGTATGAATGTCCAGTAAATCTGTAGGTCAGTTTGTTTCCTGTATTTTTAATGTATAAAAATTCTATTTCATAATGGTAGTATGACACTCTGGACAGCACAATTTCTTGAGGTATCATTAACTTCTCAGGTATTTTAAGTGGCTTGGTCATAAGACATGCAACAGTCACCACCTACAATGCTCTTATGCTTCATTTTCCTGTAAGTAAATACTCTTCGCTAATAAAAATGCAAAGATACAAGTCAGTCCAAGTCTCAGTTAAATGTTTACTATGGTGACTAAAACTCACTGTCCACATCAACTTAACTCATGATTCCCATTTCTGACAGTGGGACTTGGTTCTAAAGCAGTGCCAAACCTACGTATTTTTGTTCACAGGTGAGTTTTGAGTTTAGGTTCCTCTCTAAATGAGTCTCAGATGAAGTCAGTCCTGTTACAATAGTCAAGAGCTTCATTGGGACCCTCAACATCGCACAGGCCTGGGCTCTCCCATTCGTGTTTGGAACAGGGGAAGGGAGAGAAGACCATGTCTTCTTGGGGTGGATGATTGATCTGTATCCCTCTGGGCTCTTCAGAGTGGGACTGGCTGGCCCTCTAAATCTTACAGGAGGAATCTTCTGGGTTCATTCAGCCTTCTTTTGCAGCAGTAGAACTCAAAAACTCTTTCAACACTGCTGCTATTACTGGCACTTGGAGGCCCAAGTGTGTAAATGATAGTAGTGAAGCCATCATCTTGTGAGAAATCAGAGGTTTCCTACTAAGACCGTTACCTCCGGTGGTGGGAGTCTGGGGGGTCTGCTACAGAGTTTATGAAAGGGCACAGCAGCAGGACTATAAGAGCTTTTCTAGCTTCAAAGCTGCAGCATGCAGTGGACTGACCTGGCTGGCTGCCAGTGGACTTCTCCAATGGGATTTGGAAGAGAGTGTGGCTACCACCCAGCCCACCAAAAGAGCAGGATGGGGGAATAGGCCAGTCAGACTCAGTATGAAGGCACCAGAGGGGAGGAAGCAGGACACCTGACTTCTCTCCTAAAAAACATTGTAAGTAGTTGGAACAGCCAGTAAATCAGTGGGAATTGTGTAATTGTGTCTGAAGGATGAAATTCTGGCCCCAATGAACTCAACTGGAATTTTGCCATTGACGTCAATTGGGCCAGAATTTCACTCTAACTGTGCTGCTATCACAATTCTCCAAGGTCTCCTCCTTCGTCCTCTAGAAGCAAAATTCTAGCAGTCACTCTTAATGGCAGGGTCTCTTTCACAACACTGGACTGGTCATTTATATTAAATTTTAATAGCACTAATTCCACTGTGGAGTTTCCAAGGGTATTGTAAGGTAGCATTACTTAATTACCATAACCATACAGTAACTTCTTCAAATGTAACTTGATAATATTTTAACTTATCCTAACCTTACCTCCTATGTTGTTCTTGTAAGTATTATACAATTCTTTTACTCTTCTGTAACGGAAAGCCAGCTTCCTCATCCAGTCAACCCCTCCTCTTACACCTGTTGGCAGACAAAGGTTTGCACTACTTGCAGCTGCATGGAAGCCATCAGTTGCAAAACTGTAGGTACTGCAAACACCCAAAATATATTAAAAATAAATACAATTTATTCCTGTAAAATGAACTTTTTTAATCTTTGCAAAAAATAAAATTTTGAAAAAGAGTATATCTTACCTTAGGTCTTGCCCATTGTCATCAGAAGAAACATCATCTATATGAACTTGATCACATTCCTATTGAAAATTTAAATTAAAAAGATAACTTGTTTTAAAGGTTCATGTATGTATTAATACTTCCCAATCTGTCTTTAGTACAGGCATTAATAAAACAACCTCTGTGTATCATCGATTGTGCCAGAAGATGGCAGTGTCTACACACTCATTATCATGACAAACTTTTCTTTTGAAACAAAAGAATTTTCAACTCCTCTGACACTATTCAAATTAAGAGTTAAAATGGAGTCAAAGAAAGTTATAAGGTACTTGTTACTTCAATGTGATTTTAGACAGCAATTCTTTTAAAAAACCCTTTCCTAGTCTCTCTCTGATGGGTTGGTAAGATGTGTGTTAACCCAGCATTTCAAAATCAGTTCAGACCATTGTTCTCCATTCTATATAAAAACTAGTAATGGACAAACCTCAAAGATCTGTCATTTCTGTTAAGCCTCCAAAAGTCTGGATGCTTATCCAAGTCTTATCTGAACTTACCCAAACCTCTTTGGTTTGGAAACCTCACAAAATCAAGCTCTTGAGGCCTCCACTACTTCCTGGTTTCAGCTGGGCTGGAAAAACCCACAGAAACAGCCTGTCTTGTAGTATTTGACTATGTCCAGTCCCAGGAAAAAAAACAGGAAGTAGGGAACATACAGAGAAAATGTATAATTTTAAAACCTTTTTCTTTATTCAGGCACTGGTTTTTGTATTAAGCATGTTCCATTGTTCACAATTGTTATGGAGAAAAAGAGGTGAATGTGGGATCACAAGAAAATACCCTCTGTGTAGGTGTACACAAGCCCTGCATGGATAGTTTTACATTTGTTTTCTGTACCACAGTTATAGTATATCATCTGAATGACATGTATGGATTCACTAGTTTGGAGATTTTAAGTGATGCTGTCACAAGTGAAAATAATCACAATTGTGAACATTTGGATTAAAAGTTGATTGTTTTTCAATGTAAAACTTTTTCTACTTTTTTAAAAAAGGTTGAGGAATGGTTTTGAAAACTGATTCACCCACTCTGCTTTAACTCACACATTAATGTAATCACTTAGGCTGAGCTTTCCACTTACAGAACTGCATACCCTTAAATAACGAGCTCAGTCATCGTCAAACAAAATCATCAGTCAAGATGTGCACATTTTAGAAGTCTCAAAGCTCAGTCTAGTACAACCGCTAAGAAAATTTTCAATCTAAAGAGAGGAGAAATTTCAGAATATACACACTGAAAATTTAGAATTTAAACTGGGAAGAGATGTTATTTTAGGAATTTTCATAATTTTTTGTCCAACACTTTGCCTTAATATCAACAGTTAATGATTTTTTTCCCATGCAAAGTAAGCGTGTTAAAGTCAGATTAGACTTTAGAACCCATTTGTGGACAAAATTAGTGCTGATAACATCATTTAATGGTCATATTTATGATTTATCATTCTGTAATATACCCAAAAGAACTAGCAGCCAAATTCTACTTCTTTGGCTTAACCCAATCATGTAATTGCCATAGGCGTGTAAGAGCTCCTTGGGTTCAAGGGCTGTTCTCTCCTTGGGAGTAATACAATGAATTTTCTCTCTCTAAATGGGATGGGACTATAGCAGGGTGCAGAATATTATAGAATATAAATATGGACACTGGGAAAAATAGTGGGTTTGCACAACTGATGCTGGTAAAATAAAAAGCAACCCACTCTAAACAGAACATTTTTGGGCATTTTAAAAAGTTCAGATAACGCACAACTTTCAGTTTATTTTTGTGTGGACCTCTGGACTTCCTGGTTCTGACAGGAACTAGCAAAACACTATTGGAATTCAGAGCCTTAAAGTTTTTCTATGAAAATGGGGGGGAGGGGGAGCGGGGGAAAGAGGGGGAAAAAAAAGGAGTGCCAGATGCAAATAAAGGAGCAGTTTTCTTGCTCTTTTGCCCTCACTATTGTTTGTGCCTATGGAGAAGTGCCAGTGGTGGAAATACCACACAGTTGATCTTGGGCATACTAAAATCAGACTCCATATTACATTGGGACAGATTCTGATATCTTTACTCATGTTAAGCAGGCATCATACTCCAGAGCAACTCCACTGATTTCAGTGGGATTGTTCACAGAGTAACATATTAGTCAAGGGTGTAAAGGTATCTGACCCTGTGAGTTTGTGTGTGGCGAGGAAATGCACAAAGCATGCATGAATAAAAAGGAGTGTATATAGCTGTTTTGGATTTTGTTAAACTGTTCAGCTATTTTATAATGAGTACTGGAGTTAGAGTACATTTTAGTACTAGAAAATAGTTTTGTTTGTAATGGACCCAATAACTGGCACACAACCAACATCTAAAATTTCAGAGACTTATTTAATGAAATTATCAGCAAAATTGAGTATGAGTGGGTGGCAAAGGCTCAGCCTTTTTCTTCTACTTTGAATTTTTGTCTTACATCTTGAAAGCTAGATCCAAATCCATCAATTTATGGGGAGGAAAGAAAGAGGGTTCAAGAGCATGCAGTTTCCTGACTTCCTTGCTGATGGTCTCTGCAGGAGGGTTTTTAAGTTTCCATAGGATCTAAATACAGGTGGTTTTCCAGTTCCCCCTCCTCACTGAGTCTATGGCTCTCCCTCTTAACCAATTGTTTCAGAGCTATGGGAGCATTGTTACTTGCTTCTTTCTTTGGTGCATTACTGAATACTCACAAGGGAGACCTTAGAACTGACTCATGTGCTCTTTCATGCTATTGAAGTACTCCTTTCTTCTTGATTTTTAAAAAGTCACACTAGACCAATGTATTTGTAAAATTTGGATAAACTTTCATACCAAGAATGTTCAAGTTCATCATAAAGCCAAGTCCAGAAATTTTGTACACATTTTAGTCAGTTCCCTCCTATTCCCAGTGGAAACAATGAGCTTGTTGCACAACATTAGGAGATTGTAACTTGTTTGTAGGAAAGATGGGATAGAAATGGGGGATGGGAAAGCTCTCTGTTAATTTGAATTTTAAGGTAAAATACCTTTCATAACAGCTACAGTACTGGCTACACTCAAGTCACAGTGGGTCACTGGCTGTGCAAGTTCAAAACTAAGAAAGATAAAATATATTTTCTATTACTGTGTGTGTACAGCATTAGTCCAGGTACAATAACTGACGTTTGTTTGCAGTAATTTTTATTTAAATAACACCTTGATGCAGTTAATTACCTGTAGGAATGTTTAGAGCTTGAAAATTTTACTGAAAGTGCACAGCCTACAAATTGTCCATAAAAAAGTATCCTCTTGGAATGGCTAGTAATTTCATTATCCAGTAAAAACAGTGACTCACTGCACTGAAAACAAAAATGCTATTATACTGCAGATATTCAGCACTACACATTTTCAGGATGTACAGAACCACCCATTTCATGTACATGCCTCAGTCTATTAAAACTGGACTGAATTGCCTGCCAAGTTTTGAGGCTTATTTAAACTGCTACCTGAACTTTTCCCCTCTTTTATATGAAAGAAAAAATAGCATAGGTTGATTTTTTTTCATTTCAACAAGAGAAAGAAGAAAATTTATAGATTCTTCATACCTCATTACCCTCCTTGCTCTCTAAACCAATATTACATATGTATATTCCTTTAAACTGTATGAATTTGTTTTTCCCACAACTTATGATAAAACTACAATAAATAGCAATAGACTATTTTACTGCTGCATACAGACAGGGCCAAGTCCCAATTACTACTACTACTATTTGTAGACACTGATTTTTGTGCATGTGTTTGTGGTGGCGGTGCTGGGGAAAGCACTAGAACTGAATTACTTTCTACCAAAATTTCTCAGTCATCTTTAGACTTACTATTTGTGTTGGATGATATAGAATTTTATTCCTTACCTGTACAACAATCTTCTAATGAATGTAATTGCCACTAATCCAGACATTACTACTGGGCTGGCACCACCCTCTACGCAGTCTAAAATGGCTCTGCTGCAAGAATTTTCTAGAGCATGCAGCCACTGTATACAAGGCAAGGCCACCAACTATGGTCCCAAATGATACTTTTCAAGCAACCTAAAATTTATACTTCAAGAATGAAACTGCTGGAGAAAAGTAAAACCCAGGCTCACATAATAGCAGAAGCTTTACTGACTAGAACATTGGTTACTAGGTTCCAGAGGAATACCTCAACACACGGGAACTTCTGGAAATTACAAGCCGACAAATAGGGGGCAGGTTTTGCAGGTGGTAATATCCAGTAATCTGGATGTTATTACTAGCAGTTGGCAAGTAGTGGCTACATCAAACGAGAGGGGAAAGGATAAAAAGGATTAAGAAGAGAACATCTTGGAGGACCTTGTGACTAAAGGTAGCATCGCAAGTAGATGGGCACTTAATCCACACATTGGTCACCTCCAGACTGTATTACTGTCATGCGCTATATTTGGGGAAGAAGATGACAGGAATAAAGAGGCTCTAGCTCATGCATAACATGGTGGCTGATGTGAGAACTGGTGCTCTGCCCCTCCCCTGTCTCTCATTTCATTACCTCCAATGCCAATTGAAGGCCTTGGTCTTGATGTTTAAGACCATCAACAACTCAGAACCCAGTTTTATCTGAGAATGTCTCCCCATCCGAGACAGATGTACTCTTCTTGGCCAATGCTGCCCAGGGCATAAAACCTAGGACACAAAGCATGTTGAGAGTCAGAGATGTTGGACAGCAGAGCTTGTGGAAGGAATGACTAAAGGAGACTGGGCAAAACCAAGAGTGACTGATTTTAGAACATCCTGCTTAACCCAATGTATCGAACCACAACTGTACTCCAGAGGGAAGGGGAAAAGAAAGGGTGGGGAGAGAATAAAAAAATAAAACAGAACCCAGTAGAGCTTTTAGAAAGGAGGAACAGCAGATTGGTCAATCATTGTGAAGATCTAAATTACCTAATCAAGGAGCACTATTAAAAATCTTAGCGAGCTGAGAGATTCCCTTTATAGGTAAAGGGATCCCTAAGAGGCCATCCTGTAGATGTTTGCGTATGTTGTCCGGACCCTTACTAACTCTGAGGTGGCTACTGATTTTCCGGAGTTGTGACTTCAGGAAAGGCGGAGAGTCCTGTTGGCCTTCTGATATATTTCAAAACACAGAGGTCTTGGAAACTTTTTTTGACCCTACCTTGTGATTCAAATAGTTGGTTCTGCAATAGCGTTGAGGCTAAAAAATACTTAATTGTGTACAGACATTCAAGAAATTTGGCTTAAACTAATCTCATTGGAATGCTAGATTCTTGGACAAAAAGCTTCATCTACATCCCAAAAGAAACTTTGCAAGCTATCTAAAATGGGAAAACGTTTTGATTCAGGCCAGACTCCAAAAGGAGCTTGAGAATAACTTTTAGGGCAAGGTGTTAAAAGAATCATATCAGGAAAAAACAGGAGTTGGTGTTCCTGCATGGAAATTGCCCTGTTTGCTAAACCTATAAACTGACATGATATCTACAAAGAAGATAACTTAGTATATAGTGAGAATAGTGAGAATGAAAACAAAGTGAAGCTTCAGCAAATGGCTCAAAGAGAAAACAACAAAGCCAATACAGATCAAGAAGAAGTTCCACTTTGGAAGAGGGAGCTTACTGGTGCCTTGAACTCAGCACAAGCTTGTAGAAAACCTGGGCACATGCTAATGAGGAACTTAGGGTTCTTACGGCTGCCACTTGAAATGTGAGCATACCAGGGCAAAGGTTCATTACAAGGAAAACTAAGCAATGCTTTGCAAAATTGATTTAGAATCTATCCCTTGCTGTGGGGCACCAGAAAGAGAATATTCACCAAATGCTTTTGCATGGTCAAGTGATATCTCACTTAGACTGCAATAAAACACGCACTGGCTGAGGGACAGCCAGGGTTTCAGTTCTCAGATGTCATACTGCTGTAGAAGGGAGGTAAAGCTCAGGTGAAGGACAGGTCTTGGGGAAAAAAGGTTGAAGGTAAGGGAATGATCTGAGCTTGGGACACTTATTTTGTGACTTTGGAAGAACCAGAGACAATGAGGTCTGCGAAGGGCAATGAAGACAACAGCAGCTTGGTACTTCTTGATTTCCCTATTGGCTGTGGAACAGAGGGAAGTGCCTACTAGGAGAGCCCCCCACCCCAATGGAAGGAAAATACTTCCATCCATCAGGTTCCTTTCTCCCAGAATTTGAAGCAAAACCTTGTCAATTTTGATTGCAACAGGTGGTAAAAATGTCTACCTGGGGAAGGTACTCTGATCCAAATTAGAAGTGGATCTGAAAAGTCTTGTCTGCCTATTCAGAAAAATAGGCAGGTTGTCACAATTCATAACAGAACTAGACTCCACGAGTGGAGCATAATGCTTAAACAGTATTGCTGATGGCCCTGCTTATGAAATAGTTGATACTCTGGCAGGGGATCTGTGGTGACCCTAACAGGTCAGTGATTTCCAGTGGTCTGCCAGCTATAATCAGAGGGAGGAGAGCATGACTTGAGTAATAGCGTGACTGATTGTATCGACACGTCCTTGTGATCTCAGACCATGAGGAAGCACACTTGGACTAGGTGATGATTCGCTGAACCATGTCTGTGCATGGCACAAAGAGACTGGGAAGTGGAGAGCCAACCAAATGAAAAGCATGAGATGGGCACTTGCCTCCAGGTGCAGATACTTTGATCTGTTGACCATGTTTTGTGGGGAGAATACATGCAGGGTTAAGGGCTATGAATTAAACATGTTGAAGGCCAACTCATAAGTGGAAGAATTCGAAATGGATGGGCGAATAAGGATTTGGACCTCCTTGAGAGAGACCTGAATTAGGAGACTGAGGTTCATTATCCTCCTCATTATAGCTTGTCTGACTAAACAGATGACATACAAAAAATGGTAAAGGACAGTCTGAAAACTCCCAGTTTTCTTTTAGACCAAAAATAAATCTGAAGGGAATCCAAAAGCTTCTGAAAGCTGGGGAAAGCCAAGAGGCAGGCAACAAAGGAGGAGTTCAAGCAGAAGACTTCAAACTCTTCTGTTCAGACAAAGTATTTTAGAGGCAAAAGGGGACAACTTGAGCTGAGAAGGAAGAGGTGGGAGGCAAATGGATCCCTTCGCAGGAGAACATTGCAGACAGAGCAAAATCTGCAGACTTAAACACAAACAGCTACAGCGCAAAGAACTGTTGCAGGGGACAGAGGTGACATATTGAGGATGTCCCCACTCTTCAAGTAAGTACCCTGATGCTGTCGAAATTATTGCAGTATGACTGCCTGTGACTGTCCAGTGAGTAGGACCAACCCCAGAGTAATGTCCGTATTGCTATATGTGAGAAATACTAATAGGTAGCAAACCTTTAGTGTCATGTTCTGGGATGAAACAGTTAATGTTACAGACTGTAGATTCTTACCTCCAAATCATTAAAAAATAAATGTGTATCAGCAAGATTAAAAATCATTTCTTCCATTCGCAGGCCCAGGGTCACTGCCATTGGTGGATCCTTAGAAAATGAAAAATTAGGTTAGATATTTAATTACAATTCATTCAGGTAGCAGTTAGTCAAAAGTTGCTGTATGCCAACATTTTGCAGTGATTTCTCAAATTCTCTGGGTATGAACCTTTTTTACCATAAAGTTTCGATTAGGGATTGATGTGTTGAAGGGAGTTCACAAACTAACAGCAAAATGCTTGGGATGCTGAAAGGATTATTTTTTGATAGCCTAAAAAAGCTAAATATTGATAGATTGGCTAACCTATGGCTGTGGAGAAACAACTATTTACATATTTGCAGAAGGTGAAATATTAAAGTCTAACTAAATAATTTACACCTGTACCAAGGAGGGGAACTGCTCATTAGATTTCATAAGATGAATTTAGGAAAGAATATTTATTTTAATAAGAATAGTTTACATTTTTCATCCAAGGACCCGAAAGCATTTTATAAAGGTGTGGTCATATCTTTATTCCCCTTTTACAGACAGAGAAACTAAGGCACAGAGAAGTTAAGTGACTTGTTCACATTCACAGTGAGTCAGTGACATAGCCAGGAACAGAGAAAACATCCTGTGACATCCAGTCTGCAACATCATCCATTACACCATAATACTTCATTTTGAATATGAAAAATCTTCTCAACATTTGGCCCCATAATAGTCTCTTACATTAAGTGTCGGAAGCCTCTTCAGTGAGGACATGTAAAACTGGACTAGAAAAAACTCACTAGATATTGTATTGTATGGAATAATGCCATATGGTACAAGGGAGAGATGACTTAAAAGGTCTTTTCGACTTCTAATATCTATGCTTTATGAGAAAACTACAGTCTGAATCTTCACCCATCCCCCAAACAAGTTCACTTTAGAGAAATAGCCTCCATCCCACCTATGCATCTTTCCAATACCAGTTCTCTTCCCACACCTTCTGCTACTCCAAAAACATTTCCTGGCTCAATTCACAACTACTACTCCAACTGAACACCTGTCCTTGCTCCCACACAACCCCATTATCTATCCTCCTTTCATTGCAGGCACTCACCTGACCAAATTACAAACTCTCCCTCTATATTTGTAATTCACGCTCCCAACAAATGCTGATCTCTGGTCCCCTTTCACTGTAGGCTCTTAGACAATCTCATGTACTCCGTGGCACTACTGAGTGGGAGACCCACAGTACTGGGAAAACACAGAAAAGGTCTTTCTGTAACTCACAGCTAACAGAGTTCTTCTTTTAATTCAAGTTGTAAAGGCCTGCTGCTGGACAAGGTCTGCAGCTGTTTGGGTTTATTATAGACAGGAGTTAGACTCTCCATAGTTTAGGCTGCCACCACACTCCCATTATAAGGCTGATATGATCCTCTTGTAATTAAAAAAAGAATAAAAAGTCACATTTCACTTGCTGACAGCTACAGAGGTTTCTGAAATCTTTTAGTAAATTAAGTACTTTGAGGTTAAAAGACTTACATTATTTCTAAAGACAGCAATTTCAACATTTTGTATCCCTCTGTCAGCAGAATCACTCTAAACCACAAATCATCATTTATTTGTGTTATGAACAAAGATTTTGCCAATCAGGACCAGGCCACCATTGTGGTAGGCACTTTGCAAACAAAGAGTAAAAACCGTTTCCTGCTCTGACGCACAGAATGGCAAAATTTGAAACAGACATATTTTGGCACTGGCCCAGGCAAGAAGCAGATTTCAAGGGCAAGAAGAGTGAAGTGTTTAAGAAACTGTCATTAGTTAGAAATGAGACCCAATTCTCTGTCAGCTTCACTATTCAACTTCAGTATTTTCATGTGGACTTCTGAACTGGTCCAACCTATTTTTCTAAAAGAAAAGGAAACTCCAGGACCTTGTAAAATGGCTTCTTCCTAAATTCTTCACTAAAATGCCCATTTGGCATTAAGAGTACTTGGGTGAAAAGTGCAGGAATATATTTTCCAGAGGAGGGGACAGAGAAACATGGGTTGAGTCATTTGCCAAAGGTTACATGAGATGTTTGTAGGAGAGCTAGGGACAGAATCCTGAGCTGAGAAATGATAGATCTGTGTCTTCCTCACTAGGCCACACTGCCTTCAAGGAATAAACCACTGGATGTTAACCATTATCATGAAATAGACCAGTAATTTTAGAAACGAACAAACTGGCTAGATGCATGAAACAAACATCTAGTTTTCTTCTCTAACCACTTGAAATACTTCTCAGTGAATTTTAAGAGAATTTTCTCCCTTAAATATGAAATTCACAACTCTTATTTCTGCAGTATGCTGATTGACCCCAATCCTGCAGATGTTTATGCCCAAGCATAATTTTACTCACATATGTAGTCTGTCAATGGGCCTACTCATGCATGTAAAGTTAGGAACATTGCTTGCAAGCTGAGGGTCTTAGCCCTTTTCACTCTTTTTCTCCTTTCTACGTGGAACTGGACTTAATTGTGGAAATAGATTGCAAATGACTGCATCATGATCCAGTTGGTTTTAAGACAGTATTCCAGTTATGTTTTACTGTAATTGAAAGATATAAATGAGACACATGCCTGTCACAACATGTGGTGTAACTCATCCAATGACCTAAATGCCCCAATAGCAACTATGTGGGTGAAACCAGAAAATAACTATGCTCTCAAATGAACTCAAACTGGAAAATAACATACAAAAACATTCTATCATTTGTAGGTGAACACTTTTCACAAAGTGATCACTCTATTTCTGACCTCTCAGTCCTCATCCTCAAAGGAAACCTGCACAATGCTTTCAAAGGACAAGCCTGGGATCTTAAATTCATAACATTGCTAGACACTAAAAAATCATGGACTGAATACAGACATCAAATGTATGGCTTATTACAACAATCTATAACCCACTCTCTACTTTCCTGGGACCGACATGGCTACACCCCACTGCATAAAACAATATGTAGCATTTTGGTATATATAATAAAAAGTAAAAACAAAATTAAGATACTTCATTTCAGCTTCTCACATATTCAGTTTTTGATCTCAGAATAATACAATTCTGTCAAGGTAGATTTACTGAGTTCTTGAGGAGAAAACCTGGCCTCCTTAAGCAAATTTGCCAAATTCCATAATGCAACTTTTTAACAAACAGAGTCCAAATTCCAGTACTTCCCACACAAACGGGAGGAAGGAAGGGGTAAGAAGCACTCTCGCGTACTTTGGTCAGCTTAACCAGAATTTCAAAATGTGGAGGAATAGCCTAATGTTCACTTAACTTGTATCTGAGGACACAGACTTAGCTGCTAGAATACAAACTAAAACAGGACAAGAGAAAAATATGGAAAAGAAAGCAAGAAATTTAAGGAGGGAAGAAGCAAAGAGACACCCACCGTAGTTATACATAACGTAGATATAAAATAAATGTAATGAGGCAGACTGAACTTTTGCTAATATAGGCTGCGTTACTCCACATATAAAAAAATAATAGATGAATTAAAAAAACAACAGCAGCAGCCCTTTGGCCTTTACAGGCATGCTCTGTAGCCAGATATTACTAGTATTCAATGGAGTCTGGATCAGCGACAGCTCTTCTCTATAGCAAAAATACCAATGCTTTTAGTTACGTTAGTAGAGGGTATAAATTGGAGCCAGAGTGTCTGGACTTCTGTGCTAGATTGAGCCATCACTGGAATGCCTCCTAGGAGACTAAGTAAAAATATCTCAGCAGAACCAATATTTATGTTTTGAGGAGGAGAGAATCATGATAGGGTCCCAGATAAAGTCCTAACTTCATAGTTTCATTAGTGGCAGCATATTGTTCAATACCACCAGGAAGAGCAGGTGGTGGCAAGAAATGCTCACAGAATCCTTTTACTTATTGTATTCAAATACAATGAAAACAAGCTTTTTATATTATTGTCTCTAGTTCTGTATAAATCAACATAAAAAACTTGAACAATGGTGGGAGAACACACCTATAAAAGGGCATATTGCTGAACTTAATAGGAATAGCACTGTCCCTTGGAAAAACTTTGCCTCACAAGTGGAAATGTTAGAGTTAAATGTTAATGTTGCTGGCCTAATGGCACTTCTAGTGTCAGGTGGGAGCCTCAGGTTTAAGTCCAACTCTCTCTCTTTGGGGAGACTCATTCTGGGAGGGTGTTATGGAGGCTGGAGAAGAGGAAGAGAGTGCGCTGTTGATGGACTGCACAGTGAGTTCCTATCTATCACTCCTGGGATGAAAGTAGGGGGTTGACAACAAGAGAATTTAAGAGCAAAATGAGAGGTCCTGAGGCATCTGATCGAAATACAGGAAACAATCAATGCAGTTGAATGATTTTTTTTTTAAAGTATACTAGTGCTGGTGAACGGTGGCAGCTGGGAGATGGTATAGCATGGGTAGTAACAAGTACCTCCTAGCTAATGTGACTCAACTCTGACCTGGAGCGACAATCACTAGCGCGAGAGAATAGCGTGGTCTTCATGGGCCAGTCTCTATTTTTGGGCTCTCTTCAGAGACTGTCATCAAAGGGTGATCATGAAGTGTTAATACGGTGGTGATTTTTTGTGGTGTGAGCATTTGTCCTGTGAGATACCACCAACTTGTTATCATATGCCATCAAAACAGCTGCCATGTTTCAATCACAAACAAGGCTGGCCAAATTTGAACCAGTTAACACTAGGGCCCAACCAAATTCACGGCTGTGAAAAATGCATTACGGACTGTGAAATCTGATTGCCCCCATAAAATCTGGCTATTGTAGGGGAGGGGGGCTCCTACCATGTGCCGGGCTCCAGCTGCTTGTCCCAGCTGGGCTGGGACCCACCTCTGGGAACCTCCCACACCTGCAGGAAGCTCTGAAGGCAGCACACCCACAGAGCTTCCTGCAGCCAGGGGAGGTTCCTAGAGGTGGATCTGACCTAGCCCTGGGAGTGGTCCCTGCAGGAAGTCATGTCCCTCCCCAGCTCGGCAGGGACTAATGCAATGGTTACCTGCTGTGGTAGGAGCCCCCAGCTGGGACATCCTCAGCTTTGCCCTTCCCT